TCACAAAGATGGTTTCTGCAAGCCACGCAACTCAACTAAAGCTGACAATTCCAACAAACGGTTTCCGAAACCACCGCAGAAGGCTAGTCGCAGCATTGTTGCTAGCTATCAAGTCAACGTGACATCGCGAAGACGCTATCTAGCGGTGAGTGTAAACGGGTATCCCGCGACGCTCCAGGTAGACACAGGATCGGACATCACGATTATTTCGCAAACGATTTGGGAATCCATCGGACGTCCTTCAGTTATGCCCACTCAACAGACAGCCCTCAGTGCATCCGGAACAACTCTCGGTTTGGTTGGTGAGTTACGTTGTTTGATATCTTATAATGGTCAAAAATTTGAGTCTATATGTTACCTCACTAACCAACCGGGATTGTATATTCCCGGCATTGACTGCGTAAATAATTTCAATCTTTGGAGTATTCCGTTTGATAAAGTCTGCAAATTGACACTGGGCATCAGTATTCCTCCCGTAATAATCGATGCAGGGCTACAGCAGTCCATTCCACAACGGTTATTTCAGCGATATGCACTAGTTTTCCAGGAAGGACTTGGTCTTTGTAGCAAAATGAAGGCTCAATTGCAGCTGGGAACAGATGCTAAACCCGTTTTTCGTCCTAAACGTCCGGTGCCTTATTCTGCATTAACCAGTGTAGAGCTAGAACTGGATCGCCTACAGCTAGCAGATGTCATACAACCAGTCGATTACTCGTACTGGGATGCTCCAATCGTAGTGGTACGAAAGGCCAATGGCTCAATTTGTGTGTGTGCAGATTTTTCAACAGGTCTCAATGACGCCCTTCAGACACACAGTTATCCACTACCAGTCCCAGAAGACATCTTTGCCAAACTTTCAGGCGGTAGACTGTTTGCCAAACTTGACCTAGCTGATGCATATCTACAAATCGCCATTGACGATGAGTCAAAGGAACTGTTGACAATTAACACAAACCGTGGATTGTTTCCGTTTAACCGATTGCCATTCGGGGTTAAAACAGCACCAGCTATTTTCCAGCAGCTTATGGATGCCATGCTCACGGGCATTGACGGCGTTGCAGCTTACTTAGATGATATCTTAGTGGGCGGAACAAGTCCAGAAG